AGTAACATACACATCCTCACAGTTCTATCAAAGAAAAATGTCTGCAGACATTGCCAAAAGTCCCCCTCAGGTGGGTAAAATAGCACCCTGTTGAGAACCACTGACTTGAAAGAGGTTCTCCTAGCATATGCTCCTCTGGTGGAAAAGGGTGGCCCTATGTTAGCCCATCCCAGGGGAGGACAGAGAATCCCAACATAACCTTTAACTGGTTGACTTAAAATTTTAGGGGCTGGCCCATGGCTCACTTGGGAGAGTATGGTGCTGATAACACCAAGGCCACGGGTTCGGATCCCTATATAGGGATGGCCAGTAAGCTCACTTGGGACAGTGTGGTGCTGACAACACCAAGTCAAGGGTTATAAGATCCCCTTACCAGTCATCTTTAAAAAAAATAATAAAAAACAATTTTAGGAATGAAAAAGTTTACATAGGACAGAGCTGAAATTAAAAAGTTAGAAAAATATGGATTACTTATTGCCTATAAAAGTGTGAACTTTGGGGCCGGCCCGGTGGCGCACTGCTACAGTGCGCCACTTGGGAAGTGTGGCGGCGCTCCCGCCGAGGGTTCGGATCCCATGTGCAGACCGGGGCAACACCGAGGGTTGCGATCCCGTTGCCGGTCCCGGTCCAGTACGGGCGCGACACTGAGGGTTGCGATCCATTGCTGGTCACGAAAAAAGACAAAAAGACAAAAAAAAAAAAAAGTGTGAACTTTGATAAAATGAACTTTGATAAAATGCCCCTGCTTTATCCATCTTAAATCTTACACGCTCATTACATTGGCAGAGAGGCTGCACGAGGCACTCTAGAAAAGACTTTCTCTAAAGGAGGTGTCCCAGAAACACTCTCCTTTCATAAAATGAGCCTTAAACTCCTCATCTCCTGGACCAGTGCCATCTGAACTTCTTGCAATGATGAAAACACTATGTATCTGCACTGTTCAACAGTGGCCCCTTCTGGCTATCAAGAACTTGAAATGTGGCTGCTGCAACTGAAGACCTTAATTTAAAAATTTTATTTAAATCAATTAAAATAGGCAGATATGGCTAGTGGCTTACTATAAGGGACAGCAGTTCTAGATAAGCTCCATGCGGCACCCTGTTTTGTTCAGCTATATCCCCAGCACTTACACAGCAGTGCCTACCAGTAGTGGATACATATTCTAAAAACATTTGGTGTATGAGCAGCCATTATTACCTATACACTTATCTGGAATCGTCTTAAGGGCACAGATTTACTCATGCTTGTATCCCTATTTCTAGCTCGGTGTTTGGCTTATAAGCAAATGCTTACTGTTTTTTGAGTAAAAGGATCTCATTCTGTCCAGTTCTCCATTCTCTTGGCTCTCAGTTCTGCTATGGAATCTCTCATTAGCTGTTTCTCCAGGCCCAGAATATTTCCCTGCAAGAATCATGGCTTCTTAACTTTAATCCTGGCTCTTGGGTCACTTTGGTCAATGGAATGCTTTTCTCCAATTTCCTCTGGCCCTGAAAACCTGATGAGAGGCATGGGTGCCGGGTGTCACCATGCAGACTTGTGGAGACTGGCCTATAGTCTGCTGCTATCCCCTCCCCAGCAGCAGATATTAATCATCAGTCACAGCTTTCTCAAGTGGACCCAGACTCCTCCTCTTGGCATCTTTTCAGGCAGCTACAACCAGTTGACTAAAGGTGGCAACGAACTCAGAGGATAGTCCGTGAAGAACTGGGCAAAGCAGAAAAAGAACCTTTGACTTCCAGATGCTCTGCCAGGAACTGGCTGGCAAGGTGGAGCACTTCAGCCATCAGGAATGCCTGCCCCTGGCAGAGGAGACCATCAAAGTGCCAAACTCATCATGGCAGGCTTGACGGCTGGAATTCCACCCCAGCCCCAGCCAAGGTAGTTTCAATTTCAAATACAGAAATGGGGGCAATTTACTCCACTCTTTCATCACGACCCTTGGGACATTTGTCCTCTATGTAGACCCTTCCCTCTGTAAAATGGGGATGAAATGGTTCATGCATGTGCATCGTGAGTACATCATCTCATTGCTACAATTATTGTTTTTCTTTTTTAATTTTTATTAAATCAAAATTGATTATACATATTTTGGGGGTTCAACGTTGACATGTTGGCAAAATCAATATTACTAGCATATATATTGCTACGAATCATATTTATTCTTTATGCCCCTTGTCCAGTCTCACCCCTTCCCCCTCCCTTTCCCCTCCCCCCTCTAATTCCACTAGATTTCTTCTCTCCTTCTGAAAGAATAATGGTTACTCTGTTGATTTGTTGCCTAGATGATCTGTCCAATGATGAGAGGTGTGATCAGGTTCCCCAATATTATTGTAGAGCAGATGATTCTTCTGTCACTCTGAAATGGGCTTTGTGGAGAGAGACATCCTCTTCTTTTCTTTCTCTCTGCTGGTTACTCTCCTTGTGTGAATGCACTCCAGGGTTGGTGGACCACCTGCGTGGTGGTTGTGGTGTCTAGCCACTTTCACAGCAGCCATGGTTATTGTGGTAGCTGTGGTGGGCCACCCACATGAAGGTGATGTTTTCGGCATGCTCCTTGGCGCTGGTGGTGTGCCTGGTTGTGGGGTGTGTCTGGTCCCCTTCTCCATGCCTCTGGTCCATAGACGGGCCCTGAGGTGCTGGCACTGTGCCTGGTTGTGGGAGGGGGTTCTGGTCCCTTTCTCAATGCCCTGGGTCCCCAGGTGGGCCCCAAGGTGCTGGCATGGCATGCTGGTTGTGGGAGAGGGATCCAGTCCCATTCTCCACGCCACGGGTACCCAGGTGGGCCCCAAGGCACTGGCACAGTTTGCCTGGATGTGGGAGTGGGGTCCAGTCCCTAGCTCGAAGCCTCGGTTCCCAGGCAAGCCCCAAGGTGCTGGTGGTGTGCCTGGTCTGGAACTAGTTTTTTGTCCTTTGCTTACTTCTAATATGGGGGAACTTCCTGTGGGAACCAGTACTTGAGCTGTGTGGATGAGTTAAATTCCTGCTTTACTGCTGTTTCCCTTGGGAAGGCTTTTTGTGCAGCTCATGGTTTAATAGTTGATCTTATAGGTACTTCTGGCTCTCCAGAGACCCAGTGGATCTGGGTTGTGTAGACACTCTGATCTGGGCCTGAGCTTTTTCATCAAACTGCACCCCATTCAACTCTGCATTCCCAACCAGTCTTCTCTGAGTGATCCTGTGCTGATTGGGGGCAGATTGGCTGTCCTTGCTGAGCCAATGGGCCCGTCTCCCCCACCGCCCATGCTCCAAACAATTCCCATGGGATGGTCCCTGCACTGGTCCCTTGTGATGACTCACCAGCCCCTGAATGGCTCCCTTTTTTCAGTTGTTCTGGCTCCTTGCTCCTGCGTGGGTCCAAGGGAATCCCATTAGTGGTCTTGCTGCCTGGGGGCCACCAATGCCCTCTTCTCCCCTGCTGCCTCCAAGTAACTCCATCTGAAGGGCACAGCTGCGGCTTCTGCTGGCTCCTGCTCCTTGCGCTCATCAGCTCGAGCCTTAGAGCAGCCACGGCTGAAACGCTCAGAGCAGTTTTTTGTTTCTCTCATTGTGGTTTCTCCCACCTTCATGAACTCCATAGGGTCTCTCCTCCTCTTCCCCTGAGCTCGTGGCCCCAGCTTGGCTGTTGTTACATTTCTGTAGTTGTAAATTGGTTGATTTGTGGGAGAGAGTGACGATGGGAACCATCTATTCTGCCATCTTGACCACGTTGCTGCAATTATTGTTACTCCAATTATCTCCAAAGCCTGACCCTGAGAACACCCCTCAATGGCAGCTGCTCCAGGCTCACCCTACTCCCACTTTACTCACCAACCTGTCCTCCCAAGCTGGTACCATGTATTCTACATCCCAGATAGGCTGACAAACTCACCCCACTTTCCTGGTTTAAGTAACGAAAAATCCCACTTCCTGGGAAACCCCTCAATCCCAGGCAAATTGGGATAGATGGTCACATAAGTAGGCATTTACTTATGAGCCAGGTCCCAGAACTCCAGAGCACTCCAGCCTTCCTTAATGACATCAGACCCATCTCACTCCATAGTCCATCCTGACACAAACCACCCTTCCAAAGCCCTGGCCTGAATATTCCACAATGCCCTCAACTCTCATGGGTCCTAAATGTGAGCCAACTACCAGCATTTGTTCACTTCCTGCTCCTACTAGTACCCCTCAAACACCATCCTACATGCCAAGCCTGAGAGTGTGTTATGAACAGGAAAGGCTCACGGACTGAAAACAAAGTCTGTCCCACTTTCTCCATCCCCCGTCTTGTAGGTTCATGGGTTGTCACTGATTAAAAAGGCAAGCAGAGCAAGTCTGTAATGTTTATTGAATGGGTTGGGTGGGAAGTGAACAACGGCTACAAATTCAAGGAAAAAACTCTTGGTTATTAAAAAGTCATTCCAGGGCCGGCCCGGTGGCGCACTGCTACAGTGCGCCGCTTGGGAAGCGTGGCGGCGCTCCCGCCGAGGGTTCGGATCCCACATACAGACCGGCCGCTCACTGGCTGAGCGAGGTGCGGGAGCAACACCGAGGGTTGCGATCCCGTAGCCGGTCCCGGTCTGGTACGGGCGCGACACTGAGGGTTGCGATCCGTTGCCGGGCACGAAAAAAGACAAAAAGGAAAAAAAAATAAAATAAAAATAAAAAGTCATTCCAGGTCTTGGCAAAAGGACATGGGGCTGGCCTTCCCTGTCCATGGCCCTCTGATGCACTGCTGCCAAATCTCAGAGCCAGCTGAAGTCTCCCATGTCTGGACCCCAATGCTTGTGCAGAGTGAATGGTTGTTCCATGATGCTCTGAGCAGGGTAGCAGCTCTGGTGATGCTTCATGTGGCGACCGCACTTTCTACTCTACCATCTGGGTGTCCACAAACAACAACAAGAGAATTTAAAAGAAAGCACAGGTGAGACCAATGGTTTGGAGTTCCCATCTGCATAAACACAAACCAGCTTAACCTCTGGCTGTGGATCCCCAGCCCTTGGCATTAAACTCACCATGGTAAGAAATAACAGTAAACCCAGATCACAGGGCATCCAAAAGGTCACTGACTCTGTGGCCTTGGGACTTCCTTCAACAGTCTCTGGACCTGAGGCTGAGACCTAGGTGGGTGAGGAAGCATACAAGTATTTAGTCTCCAGTGCCACCTTCTCCTCCCCAAGCTGACACACTGAGAAGGTCCCAATCTACCAGGCCCATGCTCCTAGTTTATGCACACCAAACTAGAAATCCTAAGAAGAGAAAGGGTGAAAAAGGAAAAACATCTTAGAAGTTCAATTTTTATGCTGAATGGTTTTCTTTCAAGCAGTTCACAAATGGGGCAACTGACCAGTAGAGGAATCCACAGAAAGACAGCCCAGAGCTTACTATCAGGGGTTTGACACTAAAGTTCTACTGCCTTGCTCATGGGACAGATCACCATTACCAGTAGCTCTCCCACTATATTGTCATTACCTGTCTGCCCAGCCTGTCACAAGGCCCTCGCAGCTACCATCTTATTTACAAAGACCCACTCAATCTGATCCAGCCAAGAAAGGCAAATTGAAGATGACTTCCAGCAAGACCTAGGTCTTTGTAGATTCACACTGCCAGGCACATATGAATGAGAAAACTTCATCAGTGCTTGAGGACATTCCACAAGTGAACCCCGCTCAATCCATGGGACTCTACACCCATAGGTTTAGATCACCAGGTCTGGCATGGGGGAAGACAAATTGTTATTTCAGAAAGGTCACCACTGTCCACTAAATCCCCATACCTGGCCGAGCTGAGCAGCCCCAGGACCAGGTGCGCCAAGCCTCTGATGCAAAGGGGGCAGGGGAGCAGGCAGGGTTGAAGGACAAGGGAAAGGTCAGGTTTATTAGTTTATTCAGGTGGTTCACCAATACTGTTCTCATTGTCCTCACATCATTGTGACAGGGAACAAAAACATCTGGTGAAACAGGATCCCATCTTCAAACACAAGAGAACTGAATGTGGAAGGAAAAGGTTTTGGGACCACATAGGAGCCATCACACCAAAAGTGGAAGATCAACAGGACAGATACCTTGACCTCCCACCTCCAACCTCACCTCACCTATTACCTGAGGCGCCGTGTTGCACCCTTGCCTCCTAGGGAACACGCCTGGAGTGCACAGATGGAAAGGCAGGCAGAAGGCTGGCCTGCCAGATGGTGGGAGGCTACAGGTCTGGGGCAAGTCTGCAACACTACCTGCTCACTCATGGGAGCCAGAAAGTGAGCTGGATGGCATAGAGAGCGCATTGAGTCTACGAATACAAATTCAAAGATCCACAGGCCTGAGAATGTCTTCTCTGGGGTCACCCTCTTCAAAAGAGAACCCACAAAAGCACAAAGCACACACAAAAAGCCAGTGAAAGGAGGACTATGAACAGGTTAATCAGCGTACTCTTCCCTCATTAGTGACTGACAAAAAAACTCCTCAAGCTGCTGGTGGACTGTAAAAGATGAAAACTTTTTTTCTCCATTTATTTGACATTACTGCTGGCTTCAGGAGAAGCAGCGTACATTTTGTGTGCTCAAGAAAGAGAAAAGAAGCAAAGAAAACACAAATGGACATTTAACTCACGGGCCATCCTGAATAATGTATTACCTGGGTTTATCTTCCATTCGTATAAATTTCATAAAGCAGACCCATGATTTACAATTCTCAAGTGTGCCCTTCATACTATCTGAATTTATTCCAGCGAGGGGCTCAAGTGGAAAATTCATAGACTGGTTTCTGGCAAGAGGATCCAAAACTTGAAAAGACAAAGTGAACACTCACAAGTCAGGGAGCTGGTCCAGTCACTATCACGTAGGGCAAGCCAATGCCGAAGCTCTGAAAGGCTGGTGGAAGTGCTGGAGTGTGGGAAAGCTCCAGGGTTCACAAGGGATGGCTGGACCCTCCAAACATGGGGAAAACTTTCAGCATTCCTCTGCCTGCACTACCAATGACCAGGGCACAGGCAGCCCTTGATCACTTTCGGATGCAGGAGCAGAAAAGGACAGGAAGAGAGCCAGGAAAGAGGGGAGGCTGGTGCCAGGGCCTGGGGAATGGCCCAAGCTGGGGAGAGCAGCCCAGATGAGCACAGAACCCCAGCAGCTGCCCTGGTGCCCTGCAAAGATCCCACAGGAAGACAGAAGACACTTTTGGCATAAAATTAGAAATGTTTTGGGGTTGGAAAAGGTTGGGACCATGTGGTCACAACACCACAAAAACAAAATGAAAACAAAAGACCATTGCTATCTCAGTTTTGCTTGTCAGCTGAAGAAGTGGAGGATGAGAGCAGGTCACAGAGCTAGACAGGTTCAAAGGTGGGACTAGAGGAGCTGGGGCCTGAAGCCACCTGCTTCTCATCACAGCACACTGCTGACACACCAGCACCCTGGATGGAAGGAGATGCCCCAAGGAACTTTCTTCACCCAAGCAGGTCTCTGAAGGCCCCTCCTCTGCAGCACCCACTGAAGGCATGTGAGGAACTGTCCCTCAGCAGAACCAAACAGGTAACTCACAGGATGCCACTTTTATCTCGCTTCCCTTTTTGTCATCACTGAAGCCCCAGGGACCACGCACACATGACTTTATAAGATGCAAAAACACAATATTTCAGAGAGGGGTCCAGAAATCTTACCTTGGGGCCCCACAGTCTAGCACCCTGCTGCTAATAAGATGACACGTCCCATGGAGCCTCTGCACATAGCAGACCCATCTGCAATAGACACAGAGACAGCACTTGGCACAGTAGCTGGCAGATTATAAACATCCCACAAATGCTGGCCATTACTATTAGTACTTAATAGCCATGCTATTATCTCAGGAACAAGAAACATGTAACTCTAAGAAGGGGTCTGCACACCACCTGTGAAAGGAATAACATCCATGTTATGCTATGTGCCAACTGTGATCAATCTGTTGCTAATCAACGTGTGTTAAAAGTATGCCAGGACCAGCAACCCTTCTTCTGGGTATATGCCCAAAGGAGATGAAACCACCACCTCCTGAAGATGTCTGCACTCCCACATTCACTGCAGCATTATTCACAACAGCCAAGATAACGGAAACAATCTAAGTGTCCATTGACAAATGGGTAATGAAAATGTGAATAATAATTGAGTATTATTCAGCCTTAAAAAAGGAGAATCTGGCAACTGTCACAACATGATGAACCTAGAGGACATTATGCTAAGTGAAATAAGCCAGACACAGAAAGAAAAATATTGCATGATGTCACTTATATGTGTCATATTAAAAAGTGGTCAAATAGAATAAAACCGTGGGCAGGGGTCAGGGAGGAGGGAGGAAATAGAGAGATGTAGGTCAAAGCATATAAAATGGCAGATATGTAGGATGAACAAGTCTAAAGATCTAATGTACAACATGAGGACTACAGCTAATAAAATTGTATTGTATTAGGGGTTCTGTTAGGTAAGTCGATTTTAGCTGCTCTTGTCTCACACACAAAAAGTGACTATGTAAGATGACAATATGATAATCTGCTTTGCTACAGTAACCATTTTACTATCTATATGTATCTCATAACATCATGTCTTAAACCTCAAATATACAAAATAAAATTTATTTTATTTTATTTTATTTATTTATTTATTTTTATTTTTTTGTCTTTTGTCTTTTTCCGTGTCCGGCAACGGATCGCAACCCTCAGTGTTGCCCCCGTACCGGACCGGGGACCGGCAACGGGATCGCAACCCTCGGCATTGCTCCCGCGCCTCGCTCAGCCAGTGAGCGGGAACCGGTCTGTATGTGGGATCCGAACCCTCGGGTGGGAGCGCCGCCGCACCTCCCAAGCGGCGCACTATCCAGTGCGCCACCGGGCTGGCCCCAAAATAAAATTTATTAAAAAAAAAAAAAGCTAAGGCCAGGAGGTTTGGGGGAGGATGCCATGGCTGGCAGCAACCGGCACAAACCCAGGACAGGTACCAGGTGGGGGGAGAGCCCCACATCTACCATTTTGTTTATAAGGGCTGCACTCATATATCTGACTATAGGGTGCTTTGCCCACCTCCATTACTACTACTCCAGTTTCTAACACCTTAATCTAAGGCCAGAGGGAAAATCAACCCTGGTAGGCCACAGGCCATTTAGTGGCCAGGACTAAAGGTAAATTATAATAAGTTTGGTCACCAGAGAAACACTTCCAAAGAGAGAAGAAAAGGAGGAAAATAACCTCGACCCTGGGCAGTCTAGCTTGCTCAAGGGTATTTTCCCCCCTGACTCTAGTCAATTAGGTGAGCCCTATCACCTTACAATGATGTCTTCTTCTCATTTTCTTTTTGTCTGCACGCTACATGTCAGGCACCAGGCACAATGTGAAACAACACAGAGGCACTGCCCTTAAGAAGCTCACAGCGCAGGGGCATAAGCAGGCGTGATCAGTGCTGAGGGCTGGGGCTGAGAACAGGGGAAAGGGTGCAATGAGAAGGAGGGTGACCACTGTTGTGTCTCCAAAACCAGCCCATAGATGTTAACTCCCTAAGGCAAGGTCCTGCTTCACCATCCCTTCCTGAAGCCTCTGCATGCCCTGTGCCCTCCTGGGCAGAAGGGGCACTCACTGAACTGTACAGTGCTGAGTACCAGGAGATAGCAAAGATGGGAGAAGAAAGAAATGTACGAAAGCTCCAGAGTTTGGAAGGGACAGGAGTGGACCCTCCAAACACGGGGAAACGCTTTCAGCAGTTCCTCTCCCTGCACTATCAATGACCAGGGCACAGACAGCCCACGATCACTTTCGAATGCAGGGGCAAAAGAGGGCAGGTGGGCCAAGAAGGGAGGCCATTGCCAGCAGCTTAGGAAAGGGCCCAAGCTGGAATAAGAGAGACCAGGTGACAAGTCAGTGACCGGATTTATTGCCTATAATTGCAGCAGCTGCCGATGGTCCTCAAAGATTCTCTAACATGGTGCTTCTCAACTTCTCAGTAAGAATTACCCGGAAAGCATGGTAAGCATTTCTTACAAGGTCTCAGGTAGTAACAATGATAACACTGGGTTCAGGGACCATAATTTAAGAACCACTGCTTTAATGCTTCCCTAAAAAGAGAATTAGAGGGAAGACCAACTTTTGGGAAAATGCTGAGAATTCACTTGGTCAGGAAGTCTGGAATTGTGTGATAGTACATAAGTGATGATAGAGTTTGGATGTGCTGTCCCCCCAAAACTCATGCAGAAATTTGATCTCCAATGTGGCAGTGCTGGAAGCTGTTTGAGTCATGGGGGCGGATCCCTCATGAATAGATTAATGCTCTCCCTGGGGGAGGGAAGCCTGAGTGAGTTCTTGCTCTATTAGTTCCTGTGAGCGCTGGTTGTTTAAAGGATGCTGGCACCTCCTCTCTCTCACTTGCTTCCTCTCATCATGTGATCTTCTTGGACCCCCTGGCTGCCTGCCACTTTCTGCCATGAGTGGAAGCAGCATGAGGCCCACACCAGAGGCAGTTGTCCTAGAACCATAAGCCAAATAAACCTCTGTTCTTTATAAATTACCCAGTCTCAGGTATTTCTGTTATAGCAACACAAAATCGACTAATATAAGTAACTTCATAAGTCCACTATGGTGACTTCATAACAAGTACTCCCACCAAGGTTCAGAGAAAACCACTTAGCTAATTGCCTGACTCCAAAATGCAACCCTCTTCCCACTTCAACAAGCTACTGCCAATGCAAATTAGCATGAAGGGTACTTGGCTTCCCAGAACTCTCAGGACCCAAGGGGAGCTCTGTAAGCTCCTCGTGTTACTTCACAGTGTGAATTTGTAAGAGGGGAAAGAGGGAGTCACATGTCTCTATTGGCCTCAGTTGGGGAGCGAACACTGAGAAGCAGACTTTGCCTCTCCTCCTATGACCTCAAGGCCTTTGGCCTTGCAGCCTGAACATGAGTACACTGTCTAGAAGCATCCGGGAATCATACCTTTCAAGCATCACGGTCTACAGTCTTCTTGAAGATACTTCCCAGGGGGCCACTGGACACACAGGACAGAGGTCAGCTGACACTCTGCAATGAAAAGAAGCCACACACCTCATTTCCTATAACATATCCAGCTACCTAAGGTGTTCAACAGGGGTAAAAACCACCTTTCAATTGGGAGTGAGAGGGGCTAGAAGGTGGTTGCATTAATGGCTTCTCTTTGATCCTCCCTCTCTAGTTTCACTCTTGATCTTACAACTTCATCCATTCTTCCAGGGACAGCTTGAGAACCAGTCATTCTAAGGTGAGCCCTGAAGGCCAGGACAAACAACAGAGAAATGAATAGCTGGGAATAGTGGCCAGTGAGGAATGCCAATGCACGTTTCAAAGGGCCTAGAGGCAGGCAGAACTCTCAGGAGCCCTGTAGGCTGGTAAGCGAAGGATTACATCCCAGAACTAAGCTGCTCTCCCCTTGCAACAACGAGTACTTTCCCCTTCTTTTGATGACCCTCAATTACAGGCCAACAACATGTAAAGATGCTACCCTACCCTGTCCCTGACACTTGCACCCCTCCCTAACCCAGTCCTGCTGTCTCCAGCCTCAAGGTCTCCCTCATGTTGACCCTAATTCCCTGGCACATATCCCCATCGCCCCTCCTACTCAAGAGTTTTAGAAACCCTCCATGATGGCTAGCTGGTTAGCTCAGCTGGTTAGAGAATAGTGTTGTAATACCAAGGTCAAGGGTTTGGATCCAAAAAAAAAAGAAATCTACCAGACACCACCACACCACCTTCAGGAAGCTGCTCTTTGGAAATTCTTTGGAAATCACTGTATATGCTGACACTGTACTTATTCCTAACTGTGCTATTCACTGCAATTCCCTGTGACTACTTAAACACAACACTCCTCCCAGGCAGGACTTGATGCTCTGTAATCCTGCGCCCTCCTTCACAGTGTTGTACCCTGTGCTGGACAACAACCCCTTAATACACAGACACCCTAGTTTCTGAAATCAGGTTAGAGCCCAGCTGAGAAAGACCTAGGTACAATGTCCCCTGGCACTGACTCTTATGTGGCAACCCAGAAAGCGCCAGAGTCCTAAAAGGGCTGACAGAGAGAAACAGGAATGTGTGAAACCTCCAGGGTTTGGGAGGAGCAGCTGCACCCTCCAAACATGGGCAAAACTACTTTAAGCAGTTCCTGTCCCTGCACTATCAATGAATGGGGCACAGGGAGCCCATGATCACTTTCAGATGCAGAGCAGAAAAGGCCAGAGGGAAAGCCAGGAAGGACAGGAGGCCGGTACCAGGGGCCTGGAAAATGGCACAAGTCAGGGAGAGTACAGGACTCCTGAAATTGCCATCTATCCTGCAAAACCCCATAGAACCTAATTGCCAAGGAGAATCAAAGGGGAGATACTTCTGACAAAAACACTGGAAAAATCTGGAGGCTGAAGATCAGGATCATGTGGTCATGTCTGTAAAAATCACTCCTGTCACAGCTTTGTTTTCCACATCAAGAAACTGAGTTCAAAGAAGGTCAGACTGGCCCTTGGCTGGTGTCTGGGAGCTTGAGCTCAGTGTTCCCAGTCAACAGTTAGCTGATCAAAGTGGTTTACTGGAACAAAGTGGTTTAGGGTGAACACCTGCTTTCCTGCTGGGAATCTGGAATTTCGGAACATGCTAGGCAGAAGGTACCTTCATGACCAGCCCCAGTAAAAACACTGGGCACTTAGTCTCTGGGCACTCAGTAAAAACACTGGGCACTCAGTAAAAACACTGGGCAGAAACACTGTACACATGTTGAATGCATTTTTGTCATTGGGGGAAGAGTGGGTTCCGTGTGACTGTTGAGGGAAAAAGAGAGCATAAGGAAGCCTGCACATGGACTCCTCTGGACTCAACCCATGTCTTTGTTTCCCTTATCATTCAGCTGGGTATCCTTACTATGTTGCTATGACAAATCTTAGCCACTGAGAACTAGAAAGAAAACAGTCATAGAACCAGATGGTGGCAGAGGAGGAATTAAGAGCCACGTGTAAATATCTCTGATGCCTAAATCCACCCACTTCCCATTACGACTTGCTGCTGCTGCTAATCCAGTACAGGAGAAGTCGAAGCCCCAGAGCTCTCTACCCAGGCACGTCCCTGGAGGGGGTGCCTCCTCCATAGTCCCTAAAGGCAATATGAGGAGGGCCAGACATGATCCAGGATTCCTAGGGAAGGACAGTCTGGATCTGGGGATCCATGGGACGTCACCCCTCTTCTCATCCTCACCTCTCCCCACATCTCTACCCAAAGCACCAAGGAAAAGAAACATAACCTTACAGGGTGCAAATAGCCACAACTCCAGAGAATGAACCAGAAACCTTACCTCAGGCCCAGTGGCCTGACAGTTCCTGAATGACAACACATCTCACCAAACCTCACTGTACACAGTGGTGCATAAATGCTGACTTAACTGTTACTATCACCACCTGAACAGCTACAACAATTTTTTTTAGGAACAAGAAAAGCAGCTTACCTCTAGGAAAGGGACTGGAGATCTTCTAAGGCAGGGATGACATATCTGTATTATCTGTTGTGCCAACTGTTACTAAGAGCTACGTTCAAAAGGATGTCGGGGCCATGACATTCTGGGGAGTGTGCCATGTTCCTCTAGCAGCATCTGGCATGAACCTGGAAGAGGTAGTGGGGCAGCAGGAGGGCTGTGGGAGGGCTGCATCCATAAATCCTTCACTGACATTCTGCTCTGCCCTTGAGGTCCCTGCTACCTCACCAGAGGAGGGAGAATCCTTCCACAGTGAACTGGGCCCATCCCATGCCAAACAGCCACACAAGGCCAGGACCAATGGCAGAACTGGGTCACTTGAAAAATTCTTTGCAGAGGAGGAAAACACGAATCTGCACCTGCCCCTAGCCTCTGCACAGATTGCTTACTCAGAATTTTCCATCTGACGCTCCATGATGCAATGAACACTGTCCCCTTACAATGAGGGGACTCTCCCTGGATTTTCATTTGTCCAACACTGAGGGCACATGGACCATCGGCAGACAGAGCAAACCAAGATACAAAATTCAGATGCTGCATTCAAGAAGCTCACAACAAAGAGAGCTATGAGACAAGGTAAGCAACAAAGTCCATGAAGTATAATCAGTGCCAAGGCGGGTGGCTAAGGGTGTGGAAGGAGAAGCGTGGAGGCAGAGAGAGCTTCTGGGAGGAGGCAGGGGATGGCCCCTTTACGGTTCCACACCCAGCCCATTTATTCCTTGGGTCTGAGCCCCAGCTTCCACATCCTGCCCTTATGTCTCACAGTACCCTGCTCTGGCCAGGGAGAGCACTCAATGAACCATATGGGGCTGGCCGGTTAGCTCAGTTGTTCAGAGCACAATTTTATAACATCAAGGCCAAGGGTTCAGATCCCCTGCACTGGCCAGCCACCAAACAAATTTAAAATAATAAAAATTTTAAAAATTCAGCTAGTGCTGCTCCCCAAAAAAGAAAGAAAAAATAAACTAGATGATGCCAAGCACCAAGAGGCATCTAAAAAGGTGGTGGGAGGGAGAAGGTGTGGGAAAGCTCCAGGGTTCAGAAGGAACAGGAGTGGACCCTCCAAACACAGGGAAATGCTCTTGGCAATTCCTCTCCCTGCACTATCAATGACCAGGGCATGGGCAGCCCACAATCACTTTCAAACGCAGAGGCAAAAAAGGGCAGAGGGCAAGCTGAGAAGGGATGCCATTGCCAGCATCCTGGGAACTGGCCAGATTTACAGCCTGCTATTACAGAAGCTGCCTCTGATTTTCACAGAGATCACCTACCACTCCCTGCCAAGAGCTGAAGGGAAGGTGAACATTGGCAGAAATGCTGAGAACCCTTGAGCTCTAAAAGATTTGGTTTGAGTGGTAGCAGTATTGAATATCTGACACTGAGGCTCATAGAAGGCTACTCAGCTGGACACTGGATACTTATCTAGGTTTGACTCTAATATGCAGTCCTCTGTCCATTCCCATACACTGCTGTTTTCCTCTCAACATCACAGCAGCCTTTCTCAGGGACTCTTGGAGCCCAAATCAAGCTCTGGAAGCACTTCCCTGCAGCAGCCCTGCAAAGGCAGAAGGCCCTTACCTGTGTCTGCCAGTGCCAGGGGGCAAAGCCAGGAGCAGAGGGAAGCAGCCTTCACCTGTGTTCTCACTCCCCACTCAACAGTGCCTAAACACCTCTGGCCTTGAAGCCTGCAGAGAACTTGAGCTCCATAGAAGCAGGTGGGATATCACTCACCCGGGACCTCACAATCCATGCTCTTCCTGAGGACACCTCTCACACATGGAGCAGCAGTCACAACATACTCCTGCAGGAGACAAGAAACCAGCACTTAATCAGCCCACCTGGCACTGCTTAAAACAGGTCCAGGCAACCACTGCATTCATCAACAGGAAACCACCTGGGGAATCAGGGTCTCAGGAAGTGAATGCACTGACAGCTTGTCTAGTGCATGCTCCAGACACTGCCAGTCCTCTAAGTCCATCCTGTCTGGAAAGGACAAGAATGGATCCTCTGCACAAGAGGAAAACCTTGCAACTTTTCCTGTATTACCTACCAATGACCAGGACACAGGCAACCTGTATTCACTTTGAACATGGGGGCAGAAAAGGACACGGGCCTTGTTGAAATTAAGAGACCAGTGTCAGAAGCTATAAAATTACCTGAGTTGGGACAGCAGCAGCCAGTTGATCCTGCATAAACTTAACATGCCCCGCCAGAAGAAGCAAAGGGAAGAGACTCCAGATAAGAGAGCTGGTAGAGTTCTCAGGTTGTGTAAGACAGGGGCTATGTGATCCTAAGAAAATTCACCTCACTGTATTCCTATTTCCAGATGAGGAAAGCGAGGACCAGAGAAGGTCCCGAAGCTAGGAGGTGGCAGTGAAGTGATTGAGACCTGGGTAGAGGTGGATTTCATGCCAAAATCCTTCCTGCTTTTGATTCTGACATCCTGCCGCTGACACGCCAACGTAAAAATGGCTCCCTGAAGATTCTATACTCAAGCAGGCAAATAGAGAGGAACCAAATGCATTCTTCATAACTTCAAACCCCAGAGAGGGTAAAACTAGGGACCAGGACAAAGCCACCCTCACCTTGTCTCTATCTACTTCCCAGACTACATCACACCTGGGAGACTGCATGCATCCCTGTGGAACATAAAGCCCCACATCTCCAGAGGACAGACCTCATCTTGAGAGCGCCATGGCCCAACTGCTTCCTGGCAGGATGGAGACACCTCTCATGGGACCCCTGCACTGAGCTGCCTTCTCTGCAATAAACAAGCCCCTAATGGGCCACCAAGATGTCACCTGGTCAAACCCGACCTGGAAAGAACATGGAGCATATCTGGCACAGAAGTTACCAGTTGGTAAATGTCTCACAAATATGGGCTGTTATTATCTATACAGCCAGTCTACTGTCTCAGTACAGAAGGGACCATGCATCATCTCCATCAGGGATGGCTTCAGTTTTATCTCACATACACACAGATTAATTTGCAGTGGTCCTGGAGTAGTATGGTGAACAGGGCTCTGAACCTGGGACAGGTTTGGGAGTGTGCCACACAAGCATGGCAGAGTCTAGTGTGGACAGGAAGCGTTACTATGGGCAGGAGTGGCTCATTTCTGTCTTCGGGGGGTAAGGGCCCATTGCATAGCTCATTTAATTATGTCGCCCACGCCTAGTTGTACCTCTGCTTTGGTCCCTGGCACAATGACGATCCACAGGGAAATTTGTCCTGGGCCAGTGGAGAAGGGCTCTCACCACCCCCACATGGGTTGCCTTGCTCAAAAGTATTTCCATGACATGCCACGATGTGCTGAGCCCCATCACCTTACAACAGTGGCTTTCTCTTTTTCTCATCTCCTGTTTTTCTTTTGTTCCGTAACTGCTGACCATCTGACAAACACTGGGTTAATCAAGAGACAAGACTCAGACACTGCCCTCAAGGTCACAGTAGAGACAGGCAATAAGACAAGCAAACCAACAACTGCCACAAGTACCGGGAGGTGAGGGATAAAACAGTGACCTCAGCTGTAGCTGCAAGACCAACCCAAACATTCCCTGAGGCAGGGATCCAGCCCCATACTCCTGTGTTAAAGTGTCACAGACCATGGCACTGTAACTCGCACAGGAAGAACTCACTCAGCCATACATCAAGTGCAGGAAGCATCTAAAAGGTGATGAAAAGGAGGTGTGGGAAAGCTCCAGAGTTTGGAAGGGACAGGATAGACCCTCCAAACACGGGGAAACGCTCTCGGCAATTCCTCTCCCTGCACGATCAATGACCAGGGCACAGGAAGCCCATGATCACTTTCGAATGCAGGGGCAAAAAAAGGCAAGAGAGCCAGGAAGAGAAGCCCATTGCTATGGTTTGAATGTCTCCCCCAAATTCACTGAAGACTAATCCCATTGTAACAGCTTTAAGAGGGCGGGATATCAGACCATGGCAGTGTTAAAAGATTGGGGCCTTTGGGAGGTGACTGAATCCTGAGGACTCTGTCCTCATGAAAGGGATAATACATTCATGAATTAATGGTTTAATAGGTTATCAGGGAGTAGACTGGGGGCTTTAGGAGGAAGAGAGAATGTGGAAATGAGCTCTTGCTCAGCCCTCCTTATGTGATACCCTGCTTTGCCACAGAACTCTGCAAAGAATCGCCATCAAGAAGGTGGCCTTCACCAGATGTGATCCCTTAACCTTGGATTTCCCAGTCTCCAAAACTGAAAGAAATAAACTTCTTTTCTTTATATATCACCTAGTTTCAGGTATTCTGTTACAAGCAACAGAAAACACACTAATACACCCGTGTTAGCTCCAATTAATCACCCAGGATGGGGAAAGCTGCCCAGCGAAGCCCAGGATCCTGAGTACTATCATGTAAAGAAGCCATCTGCCCCCATCAAGAGAATCCACAGGAAAAACAACTGGTAAAAATGTCTTAGTTGTTCTCATTAAGTATCCAGGCACCATGGGTTCAAAAACTAGAAAAACAGTCAAGGTCTCTGTCCTCACAGAGCTTTTGCGGTTTCCCTGCTTTACAGAAAGTAAAATTCAGGAGAATGAAGCAACTTAGCCAGGATCTATCTAACCTCGGGTCTTTCCAACCCCAAACCCAGACCCCCCATCTCCTGCATCAGGCTTCCTTCTGCACAAGGGCTTTGCCAGCCAGTTCTCAGGACCCGGCTGAGCCCCATCTCCATCTCCTCTGCTGGTGCCGGCCAGGAAGGCACCCCGACCCCGTGTTCAAGGTGCTCGTGAGCAGCGGCACTTACCCAGGGGACATCCTCACCCCCTGGACAGTGGGAGCCCAGCAGGGAGTGTGGATCAGGGTCCTGCAGGCGTCCCGCAGGCGACAAGGGGGCGCTGGTCGGTGCAGAACCAGCGAAGCCGTCCCAGGGAGAGTTTCCATCTTCTGCAGGAGACCCGCAGAGCTCGCGAGGCCTGCGCGGGGGAAAACCACGGGGAAGGGCTTTAGTGCGAGCACCGGGACGGGAGCCCAGACTCTGCCCTGTGGGGCCCTGGGAGCGTCCTCCATCTAAACCTCGGCCGTAAAATGGGAGTTTTAACACTCGCTTTAAAGGTTATCGAGGGGAAAACGAGTTAACTGTCCTCAGGACGTGGCACAATGACCGACACCTTGGAGACGACCGACAAGTGGCATCGGGGGGCTTCAAACACCGACGATCACAGAGATCGGGGACGGGGCTATGCAAGCCACCGGGCTCTGGCGCCCCTCAGCCCGGGCTCACAGCGGGCCCTGTTCCTGTCACTGACGGGCACTAAGCCTTCCCGCCGGGGGTCTGGGCGGACAGGGGGTCTGACGTCCGCCCGGGGCCAGCTCAGCCCCGCGTCGGCCGAGGGCGCGGCTCACCCGACGGTATCTTTCCCGAGGACACGCGAACCCCGGCAGAATGGGACGGACCTGCGCTCCGGCGCTGACCTCCGGCCGGCTCTCTCTGCCCCGGGCCTCAGTTTCCCCTGATCGGGGAGACGCAGCCCCGGCCTTGGAGGCCGCCTGGGGTTCCTGCGCAGATGACACCCTGAGCGTGACCCTTCAGTGACGCACCAGGGCGCCGGGACTGACGACGGCGGGACAGAGAGCACCGGGCGGGAAAGTGTGGGGCCACGCAGGACCCGGCCGCACCCTGGGGAAGCTCTTCCCACCGGCTCAGCGTAGGCGGAAATGCGGCTGGGGGCGTAAGCTGCAGCCTAGAGCGGCGCCTCCCCGGGGCCGAACCTGCGCCAACGGCCCTCCCTCGCCCCCTGGTGGAGCGGAGCCGAAATTCCCCCTGATGAGGGAGAGGCGCAGACCGCACGCCTGGCAGCGGACTCACTCGGGCGCCCTGGCGCTGGTGGACACAGAGCGGACAGCGCCGGAAGGTGCGAGATGCCTGGAGATTTCGGGAGATGGCGTAAGGCAGCAAAGGAAAGCGAGCGACTAAGCCATACGACAGGAAACCCCACCCGCCGACCGGACGCCCGCGGAAATGCAGGCGAGAGCGGCGCCTCCGCCGGGCGGGACCTGGGAGAGCGGCCCTGCAGCGCCCCCTCGCGGAACCTAGCTCAACTGCTGGCTCTGCAGGGCTTGGCATACTTTTCAAAAGCAATCAGCAATTTGGAAGTAAGCTTCCCTCCTTTGCTCTTCTGATTGTTCTGAAGGTGTTCCATGGTCACTGATTTGTCATTAATCTGTAGGAGTCGTCAATTTTCCACAATAGAAGCTGTAACTAGAATTAGCTGGAGGATTGTATTTAGTTTGGACTTCTTTTTGCAAGGGCCCAATGGGCGTGGGTATGTTTCACCACTGTATTCACAGTACCTAGGTCAGTGGCTGGCACAATTGAACGAATGGATGAATTCTACCCTTATATTTCTTTGGACATCATCAAACTGAGATGTGAGTCATGCATGAGTTTGGAGTGTGAAGGTGAGAAGGAGACTAGCCCAGAGAGGAGGGTGGGGGATAAATGCTTTGCTAAAGTTGGTCCTGAAAGTCACTAGGGCTGGGGACTGGAGAGAGGCCTTGAAGCAAAAGAGACCTGGTCAGATTTGCATTTGAGGAAGTGCTCCCGACAGCATACTGGTGACAGGATTGGGAACTCGCTCATAACCCCCAAATCCTCACCAGCACTAACTCTTCCCATATTCTGATGTGTAAATGACTCACCCTTGGGCCGGAGGCGGGGCTCTCCCAGTGAGATTCCTGATATTCACTAGGTCAGGAGGGTGAGGAAATCCAGGCCCAACCTATGGTACTGTGAGAGAAATTAGGGACCCTGAAGGTGAGAAGGCACCATATTCTGTATGGTAGAAGCCCATGGATTCTAAGACTGTGAGGACGTTGGGGATCTCTGCAATGGGGAGGGCCCATGACATTCTGTGGCTGAGAGGACGCTGGATTAGGAGGTCAGGTGTGCACACTGTGGCCACACAGTCCTCTCCTGCCTCTTGCTCTTGCTCTTACTGTCCATGTGACCTTGGCTAAGAAACCTAACCTCTCTGCCCAGCTGTAGTTTCCTGTTCTGAAAATGGACAGAGTCATTCATAGTTCCTGCTCACTGGGCCGGCCCATGGCTCACTTGGAAGAGTATGGTGCTGATAACACCAAGGCCACAGGTTCGGATCCCTATATAGGGGTGGCCGGCTAGCTCACTTGGGAGAGCATAGTGCTGACAACACCAAGTCAAGGGTTAAGATCCCCTTACCAGTCATCTTTAAAAAAAAAGAAGAAAAAAAAAAGTTTCCTCCTCATAGCCTTGCTGTGAGAATTCAGCAAAATGGTTTATATTAAGAGCGTAGCACAGAGCCAATGTCCGAGGTGTGGTGGTTGCTATATTTAGTTTAGTATTTCTGAGAAAGCTGAGGGCCTCCGTCACTGTGAGAAATCTATGGGATTCTTTACAAGGCAAGGGGAGTGTGCTGTATTTGGAAAGTCTAAGGCAGCACTATCCAGTGGAAATACATGGTTACTTCAAAAAGTTTATGGAAAACTAGAATGAAAAGATAACACAAATCTTTCCAAGACTTTTTGGAACCCTCATATAATGCAAGCCACACATGAAATTTTAAATTTTCTAGGAGCCACATTAAAAGGTTAAATAAAAGGGCTGGTTGGTTTGCTCTGTTGGTTAGAGCACATTGTTGGTAACACCAGCGTCAAGGTTTTGGATCCCCATACTGACCAGCTGCCAAAAAAATACAAAAAAAAAAGTTAAAAAGAAAGTTAATTTTAATAATATATTTGATTTAACTTAATATAACCAAACTATTATCATGTCAGTGTGCAATCGATATTTTAATTAATAAGATATTTATTATTCTTTTCCTGTGTGAAGTCTTTGGACATGTTTTACATTTACAGCAGGCTACAATTTGGAATGGCTGCATTTCCAGTGCTCCGTAGCCTCACGTGGCTGGTGGCTGCTGTGTTCATGAGCACAGGTCAAAGGCAATCTGGCTTTGGAACTGGAAGAGAGAAGCAGCAAACAGAAGGCTGAGAGCATGTCCCTTCCATAGCTCCCTCCCCACCCCCCACAAGCCTGGAACATCCTAGGAAAGGCTTGGCCTCCTGCATACTTCCAGCTTCATTGTCCTGAGCTGACGATTAAGGCAAAGATTCCCTCAGAAAGCTGGGAAGGGGCAGAACCACAGTTCAAACCTAGGTTTTCTTTTGCATTCCTTTTTCCCATACACCAGGGAGGGCATCTTGGCCAGTTCGTTTCTGCATCCCCAGGGTCTAGAGGAGGCTGGACCTATGAGGAGGGGTTGATGCTTGTTCATTGTTAGTGCGACGGGATGTTAAAATGGATGTTCCAGGGCTGGCCCGGTGGCGCACTGGAGAGTGCGCCGCTTGGGAGCGCGGTGGCGCTCCCGCCGAGGGTTCAGATCCCATGTGGAGACCAGTTCCCGCTCACTGGCTGAGTGAGGTGCGGGCGCAACACCAAGGGTTGCGATCCCGTTGCCGGTCAGTAAAAAAAAAAAAAAAAAAGACAAAAAAAAAGGAAAAAAAAAAAAAGGATGTTCCAGCCAAGGCAGCAAGATACAAGGATGAATTGTATAAAATTGCTGCTGTGGTAGATAAAAAATGATTGAATATTGGGAATTTCTTAAGGTTCCACCTGTTAAAATGGCAGCTGCCTTCCAAAAAAGGTGTTGGACCAGATGAAGGATGAAGGGAGGAAATAGCTAAAATATAGTTGCTTGTGACTCTTGAATCCTTTCTTCCAATTTAAGGGTATTAACAGTACTGAATTAGAAATTAAAGATTTAAAAAAAAGAAATTAAAGATGGCCGGGGAGAACAATAAAATAAAATAGAGAGAGAATTATGAATTATATGTCTTGAGAAAAAGCAGGGCTGTGAGTCTCACCCTCTGCCCCCAAGAGGGATAGATGAGCAGGGAGCCTGTGTATCTCATCTCCATGTGGTAATAAGTGTTTCAGCAGGTCATCAGGGAGCTTGATATTTGTCGTGCAGGATTGGGAAGCACAGGTAGCTGAGGCCTAACCAAAGCACTCTTGTTCAAAGGTTCATAGTTTCCTTCGGCAGGTGTAACATCTGTAATAGGAAGTCTGCCTGGTACCCAAGAGGTTCTGTCCAAGAGGAAGCCTGCTAGGGTGAGGACATCCTAAGAAGAGGGTCTGTGCACATCAGGAGGGGTGCAGTCAAAGGGTGTCAGGAGGGGGGGGTCTCTCTCTTCCCTACTCTTTACTCCATCTGTTTTGATCCTGTAGGTATGAGGACTGGGTGAATAAACAGAAAGCTCCTAGTGAGGAGAAACACATCTGGACAAGTAAAGAGAGATGGCCCATGTCCTCTCCCTAGCAGACAGCAGCCAACCCTTTGCTGGGCCCCAACTGATGGAGACTTACCTATGAATGATTATTGAAAAGTCTTACCTATGAATGATTATTGAAAGCATGACTAATGCATTAGACTGGATATGTAAAGTTATTGAATGGAAACTATGTTTTCCATTTTAATGATTGCAAGACTTTTTACTACCTAAGAACGATCAGAAAAGTTATGAGGCCTGCCTGATATTTTTCTAGGGGCAGGGAAAAGATATTTCAGCAAGTCTAAAGAGATTGGGGAAAAATTTATGATTACATATCAGGAGTCCTGCTTTCAGTATACTGGTTGGATTAATAAAGGATTGGGCTGTAGCTGGGAGGACAATATTCCACTACCTGGGAGTTTGTGACCTCATAGTGGCCCATGGCCTGGAGAGATCTCCATGGCCTGCAGCACCTTCCCTTAAAGAGATGGAATCCTGTCTGGATGGACATATTTTTCCAAAAGGTGGTGCCCAGGGTCCAGAAAGGAAGTCAGCAACTGACCACGTGAGGTCTGCAGGAGCTCCAGGCCACATCCCTGCATCAGGAATGACTGTGCTGGAGATTTTGTTGTATCTGTTCATCCTCCTCTTCCTCTTCTTACTGCTCTTCTGTTAATGAGTCTTTCGGCAGCAATAGGCTGAGGCTCCTGCAGGCTGGGATTGAGGCCTGATGGAAGCCTTGGCTAGCCCAGCCCCCCAGAGCTTCTCAGACAGGATGGGCTCTTTCTGAGCTGCCCCATGGCTGTGTCTTGTCCTGTTTGGGGGTCTCCAGCAGCCTCCAGCCTCACTGGATATCCTGGCATACTGAGATAAGACAGGGGGTCTTGCCACCATTGTCAGCTCCCACCCAGGTCTCAGCATCTCCTTTTCTCTGGGTCCCCTAGCTGGATTCTTCAACCTCCACACCTTTTCTGTTGTTAGTTTTGCTTCTGGTTCACTTTTATCCTGTACTGAAGACCACTGGCTCTCGACAAGAGATCAATATGGTGCTCAACAAAGGTATAAATGGCTCAGTCCTCTGCCCTGAGGACAGGCATGAGCAGAGGTGACCCTCTCCCTTGGAAAGCTGGGCCCTGGGGAGCTGGAGTCCTAGCTAAAGACTCAGAACCTCAGCCAGTGACATTGGACTTGCCTTCTATCCATGGTGGACAATCCTAGGAAATCAAACTACTTGACTAATGAAACTGAATGGTCTTAGCTAATTAACTTACACTTCCCTGAACAACTTTGGGCCTTCCTTGCTAAATAACTGAGATATTTCTGGCTAATTACATTTTTCTGGCTTGAAAATTTTAATTTTTTTTTTTTTGAATACTTAGGCATTCCAGGATAATGATACTGAACTTTGGTTCACTATCTTTCATCGTGGTGGTGAAACTGACCACATCAGTTCCTCACTCTTAAGGCCTTGGGTTTTCCTAACTTAGGGCATTGGACATCCCTGGCTAGTTTTCTGGGCATTCTAGGATAACAATAGAAGAAAATCTCTATGATTTCACCATTATGTATGATATTGGATGATGGTTTAAGATGTATATTCTATTTCTATAATTTTAAGAATTTTTAAAAATTTTTAATGGATATTAAATTTTATCAAATATTTACTGATTGTGATGATAACTACAATTTTTTAAACTAGCTTACTATAAGCCAACAACTGTGCAAAGCACTTATGGTACTGTGTTTCAATTTATTATTTTATTTATTTTTTTTGAATTTTTAGGTGCGGTAAAATACACACATCATAAAATTTACTATCTTAAATCCATTTTTAAGTGTATATAGTTCAGTAGTAAGTACATTCACATGGTTGGGCAACCAATCTCCAGAACTCTTTTCATCTTGCAAAACTGAAACTCTATATCCATTAAACAACAGCTCTCCATTCCTCTCTCCCCCGAACCCCTGGCAACCACCATTCTACTTTTTATCTCTGTGGATTTGACTGTGCTAGTCATCACATGGAAGTGGAATCACACAGTATTTGTCTGTTTGTGACTGGCCTATTTCACTTAGCATAATTTCTCAGAGTTCATCCGTGTTGTAGCATGTGTCAGAATTTCCTTTCTTTTTAAGGCTAAAGATATTCCACTGTTCGTATGTACCACATTTTTAAATCCATTTATCTGTAGGTAGGCTCTTGGGTCGCTTCCATCTTTGGGCTATTATGAATAATGCTGCTATGAATATGGGTGTACAAACATCTCTTTGAGGTCCTGCTTTCAGTTGTTTTGGGTTTATACTGATAAGCAGGATTGCTGGATCATACGGTAACTCTATTTTTAATTTGTTGATGAACCACCATACTATTTTCCATAGCAGCTGCACCATTTTGAATATGTTATCTATTTTAAAGTTGAAAAACTGAGGTTCGGAAAAATTAAGGATCTTAGTAATATGGCTAAGATGTGGTAGAGAAAAATTTTAAGTACATTGTTGTACTAGTTTTCTAAGGCTGCCATAACAAAGTATTGCAAACGGTTTGGCTTAAAAGAACAGAAACGTATTCTACCACTATTCTGAAGGCTAGAAGTCTGAAACCAAGGTGTCCGCAGGGTCATTCTCCGTCTGACACTGTGGATAGAACCCGTCCTTGCCCCTTGCTAGTTTCTGGTGGTGGCCATCAATCCTTGGCGTTCCCTGGTTTGCAGCTACATCACCCCATTCTCTGCCTCTGTAGTCACGTGGCCTTCTCCCTGAATGTCTCTCCTCTCCTTGCTCATAAAGACATCAGTGCTGTTGGATTAAGGGCCCTCCCTACTGCAGTATGAACTCATCTTAATTTACATCTTAATTACACCTACAGAGACCCTGTTTCCAAATAAGGTCACATTCATTGGTACCATGTGTTAGGATTTCAACATAACTTTTTGGGGGGCACAATTCAACCTATAATATCTGTCTTGCTCCAGACTCTGTGACATTTACCACATTTTTGACCTCCTTATGTGATGTACTTCTAGACCTCCTAATATAAAATCATGCTTGTGTTCATGGAACCAAGTTTACTTGATGTTGGTGGATTACTATGTTAGGCTATAAGCTTGGAGGAAGGCAGACAGCATGGGTTTGTTTCATTCATTTCTTTACCTCCCTGTCATTATACCAGAAGAAAAAAAATGGTTGTTAGAAAACTGGTATAGGGCCGGCCCAGTGGCGCACTGGATAGTGCGCCGCCGCTTGGGAAGCGCGGCGGCGCTCCCGCCCGAGGGTTCGGATCCCACATACAGACCGGTTCCCGCTCACTGGCTGAGCGAGGCGCGGGGGCAGCGCCGAGGGTTGCGATCCCGTTGCCGGTCCCCGGTCCGGTGCGGGGGCAACACTGAGGGTTGCGATCCATTGCCGGACACGGAAAAAGACGAAAGACAAAAAAAAAAAAAAAGAAAAGAAAACTGGTATAATGCCAAGGGGAAAGGTTCAGATACCTGCTCCAGGCAGCCACCAAAAAAAAAAAAAAAAAAGAAAAGAAAACTGGTATAATGCCAAGGGGAAAGGTTCAGATACCTGCTCCAGGCAGCCACCAAAAAAAAAAAAAAAAAAGAAAAGAAAACTGGTATAATGCCAAGGGGAAAGGTTCAGATACCTGCTCCAGGCAG